TAATATTTAACCCATGGTGCCACCAGGGGTCCTTCTAGTTACTATGTTGTTAAGTGCTGTCGAGTCAATTCTGACTCATAGTGACCCTGTATAGGGTTTCTAAGGAGCGGCTGGTGAGTTTTGAACTACCTACCTTGTGGCTCAAACAGACCTTGAAGGTCCAGTGTTTATCTTACAGGGTTCCTCTAGTTTGTGTCGTGGAATAGGTTCCGACTCACAGCGACCCTGTATAGGGTTTTCAAGACTGTAAATCTTTACGGGAGCAGAAAACCTCATCTTTCTCTAAATTCCTGCTTGTGCCAATGCAATAGAATGATCCAGTTGAAAATTTAAACCCACATCAGGCCTCCCTACTTCTTGTTTTTGTGTGGGTAAATGGGGCATACTTATCCCCATGTGTTTACTTGTTTTTTTTTTTTTTCTGATGAACTTTAAAAGACATCTTGCATGAATCACAAGAATAGCACATGTATTTTCTTTTCCTGTGATCTCATATTCTATTTCCATGGAGAGCAAGAAATCAATAGTTATGTGCCGAGAAACTGCTTTTCAATTGTGTGGTGGACTGTAAAGAAACATGGAGAAATCAATTTCCTTTTCCGGTCTCTGGAGACTTGGTGGCCCTTTGAATTGCTCATGGAGATGGTAATTTTGATCTGTATTCTCTAAACTCAGAACATTGTGAAGTAAACAGTACCGGATTCAGAATGATTGAAACTGCTTTCTGCTCATCATCGCTGCTGCCACTAAAAGGTTTTTAAGCTCCCATATATGAAAGTGCCGAAATGAGCATTGTATGGAGCAGGTGCACAGACAGCAACTCTCTAGAGATTTAATAGTTAAGATTTATACATCAAAACAAAGACTAAGTTTCTGCAAACTTTTGAAAAGTGGAAGAAAAGGACAGTATGCTGAGAGGCAAACAAACTCCCAGTATCTAGTTCTGGTTTCCACCTGTTTTATTGAGATCTTCATCAAGCTTTTTGAAACAATTAACTCATTTTTAGTATCTTTTAAAAAAATTATTGTGATTTGGGTGAAAGTTTACATAGAAAATTGGTTCAACAACTCCAATACATTTTGTTTTGTGATCTTGATTGCAAGCTCCCAAATATAACATCACTCTCCCCATTTCCTCCCTGTTTCTACGATGTCTGTTTGTCCTTCTTTCCGAACCCTTCCTGCCATCTGAGCTTCATCCCTGGGTAAATTCTGCCCTTTTGATCTCATATGTTTGATTGTTCTAAGGAGTGTTTACCTCCCAGGTGCTATTGTTCACCTTATACTCTTGTCTATTGTTACATTAAAAGTTGAGTCAATCTTGTCTCCATTTATCATGATGTTATTTATTGGTCCAGTTGTGAACATTTTTGTTTTCTTTACATTGAGGTGCGATCCATATCAAAGGCTGTGGTCTTTGATCTCCATCAGTAAGTATTTTAAGTCCTCTTCAATTTTAAATTCTTCTTTCAATCCTGATGCCATGTTCTTCTTCATATAATCTGACTTCTCTGATTAGTTGCTTAGCATACAGATTGACTAAGTATAGTGAAAGGATACAATCCTGGTGCACACCTTTCCTGATTTTCAACCATTCAGAATCCCCGTGTTCTGTTTGAATGACTGCCTCTTGGTTGACTTACAGTTTCCTCATGAGCACAGTTAAGTGTCCTGGAATATCCATTCCTCTTATTCACAGTGTGTTATGATCCACACAGTCAAAAGCCTTTGCATAGTCAATAAAGCACAAGTAAACATCTTTCTGGTATTATCTCCTTTCAGCCAAGATCCATCTGGCATCAGCAATGATTTTTGTAGATCTATGTCCTCTTCTGAATCCAGTTTGCATTTCTGGCAGTTCTCTGTTGCAGCCATTTTTGAATTATCTTTAGCAAGTTTTTACTTGTATGTGAGATTAATAATATTGGTTGATGATGGACACACATATGGATCTCTTCCAAGCACTTGATTAGGTCTCTGTCCTCCATATTTCTTGGTCTAGATAAGTGAGCACTTCCAATGCTTCATCGGTTTGTTGAAAGATTTCAATCTGTATTCCATCAGTTCCTGGAGCCTTGTTTTTCACCAATGTCTTCAGTGAAGCTGGGACCTTTTACTTTAGTGAAATGGTTGAACACTGTTTTTATTTTTTATTTATATTTTATTTTTATTTTAATAAACACTACGTTTATTTTTGGTACAGTGACTGTGTATTCCTTCCATCTTCTTTGGATGCTTTCAGCATCATTCAATATTTTCCCCATACAATCCTTCAATGCTTCAAGTGGAGGCTTGAATTTTTTTCTTCAGTTCTTTCCACTTGAGGAATGCTGAGCATGTTTTGCCCAAAAAGGGCAAAGGGCTCAATAGACAATTGACAAAGATAAAACTATAAATGGCTAATCAACATATAAATTGCTCAGCTTTACTGGTGTGGCGTTGCAGAATCATGCACTGGACCCCAAGGTTGGTTTGAACCACAAGGTCGGCAGTTCAAACTCAACAGCCGCTCCTCAGAAACCCTTTGCAGGGTCACTGTGAGTCAGAACCAACTTCAATGGTGCTTCACAACAACAACTATGAAGCAAAGAATTGCAAATCAAAGTGGCAGTTAGATACTGTTGTACCATGTTCATAATTCTTTAGGGAGAAAAGGAGCATATATCAAAATTTTACATTTCGGCATACATTTTGCCTCTGAATCATGAATTCTAAGAATTTACCCTAAAGATATTATGAGACATAAATGGAAAAGTGTTAGGTTCAAAATGTTTATTAGAGCTTATTTATGAACATGACAAAGAAAAAAAGAATAGTAGCTTAAGTTTCAAAGCATATGACAAACCCATAAAATGAATGTAATATTAGACGATCATTAAAATGATGTTATTGAGGAATAGCTAATGACTTACAAGTACAGTTACAACACAGTGTCCAGTTCAGAGAGAAGGCGATATTGTTATGGTTATTAAGTGCTGTCGAGCCAGGTCCCATTCATAGAAACCCTGTATAGGGTTTCCAAGGAGTGACTGGTGAGTTTGAACTGCCAACCTGCGGTTTAAACCGTGGTTCAGTGCTTCATCCCAGGTACCCCAAAGAAGATTGACAGCTAGAAAAGGTATGCTCCAAATATTAAAAAGTATTACCAGCATTCATCTGTTCTATTGATATTCTGAATACTCATTCCCCCCTCCCTTATCTATATTTTCTGTAAAGACTTAAATAATTTTGTGAAGAAATTTTGTTGATACTTTTCTTTTTTGGTATATATATATATTTTTTATGAGACAGTACACATTAAGGAATTAGAATTCAAAAGAAAAGGGACTCTTGTCAAAAGGATAGCTTACACTGACTGGCTCCTCATTTTACTGTCTTTGATCCTACTGCATGACTGCAGAAAAGTGAAAGAGAAGTCTTTGCCACTTTTACAAAGTAGTTGGCTGAATTAGATTTCTAGGTCTGGTTTTTATCAAAGACCAAGGTTTTGTTGTTGGAAGTAAATGCCCTGCTTTGTGACAACCTCAGTCTCTCTGTGTATTGACTTTTTCCCATGGCTTTATCTAGACTTTATCTAGTATGTCGTTTTGACAAGATGATTTCATCTAGGCTAACATTTTTTTTTTCTTTCTTCAGATATTGGTTAAGTGAGCTCTTCCTTGTCAGAAATTTCCATGTTATCTAATGGCAAAATAGGATTGACTGGGTTAACTTTTAGATGCCTCTCCTTTTTGGAAAAAGCTGACCATAGAGAAGTATCTTTTCGTTCCTTATCTTAATCCTCAGAGCATGTCTGAAGTTTTATTGCCACTTAAATTTGGAGAGTCAGTGTGGTTGTGTGGTGCAGATAAGATTCACAAGAAGTCAGCCTGGTTATTGAAGTGACACCCAGTCCACTACATCCCAGGGCCCCCAACAACTCAAACACTGAAACCTCAATTCCCTCTAGGAAAGATGACAATTACAATAGCCATTTCCTTCTATTGTGGTGAAAATATGCACACCAAAGCATTAACCAAGCCACCAATCCCTACATGTGAAATTCCTTGACCCTGGTTCCATTCTTCATAACAATAGCAATTCGAGGTGCTGTTTTGAGGAGTGGAAGAATAATCCAGAAAGCCTGGTACATTCTGGGTAATTCTTACTATAGCTGCACTGACCAATGTAGCCACTTGCCACATGTGGCTACTTTAACTGAAGTACCTTAAGAACTCACTTGCTCAGCACTTCAAGCACGCCAAGTGTCCAGTAGTGCTTGTGTCTTGTGGTTCCCACGCTGGACAGCACAGTGTAGAACATTGTCACCCCTGCTGAATGTTCCACTGCACAGCACTGCTCTAGACCAGTCACTGATTTTGAAGCAACTACTAGACCTTGTTGTTGATGGTAAGTGCCATCAAGTCCTTTCTGACTCATTGCAACTCTGTATAGGGTTTCTGAGGAGTAGCTGGTGGATTTGAACTGCTGACCTTGTGGTTAGCAGTCCAGGGCTGATCCTACAGCGTCACACCAGGCTGAACAAAATCACACCCTTGTTTGAAGGGGGCACTCTCTCCGGAGATGGAGATGTTTACTTGTGGAGGTGAGAGCCAGGTGGAGCTATTGTTGAAAGGGTGCCCTTTGTTTGCCAGAGACAAAAAGGAGTGGTATTTGTTTCCCAAATTTCGATATTCCCAATTCATGAGACAGAAATTTCAGGCCTGAGAAGATGTAAAGTTTACCTCCAGGCAAAACTCCAGAGAGGACTGACTGCTGCCCACCGGCCCTGGCACCAGAGAACACAGTGTGGGTGGGAACGATTCCCACTTGGAGTCTGCAGAGGGAATCTTTTTTGGTGGTAGAGTTAGGAATGGAGAACCAATAATCTGATGGTCTAACAGATTTTCGTAAATAACTGACAGGAGATTAACCCAAGTGGTGGGGGTTAATCATTAAACCTCCTTCCTAGGTGGCGGTGGACTCCTTTCTCTCAGATTTTGTTCTAATCTGGTCACAGAATGGCTAAGGCAGCTCTAAGTGGCGGGTGGATTTTTTTCCCCCGTTTGCCCTGTGTTTTCTATTGGGAAAGAATGTTTTGGCTTCTCTTTTTCCTGGTACCTGCGATTCATACTCAACTCTGTCAACCAGGTATGTTGTCTTGAAACATACAAATGAGAGTTTTCTAAATGATTGACATATTTTAACTTAAAGAACTCTAGCTCTCTAAAGTCAATGACATGTTGAAACTTGAAATTTATCTTGTGACTGTTTTATGGGATGGGAAAGAAAATTTTTAAACATCTAAGATGGTTGGAGTGAAACTTTGAGGCAGATTTGGACGGGTTTCATTGTAGTACTGTGTGTTGATGATTTCAGGTATATTAAATCATAGGATTAACTGTGTTCGCTTTAGCTGATATTGTGATAGTCCATTGTTTTTTTGTCTTTCTTTCTGACAGATGGAGAAAATGCTTTTAAAGTGAGACTTAGTATCAAAACAGCTCTGGGAGATAAATCAGTAAGTAGAGCAAGTTCTTTTTTCATTTTCTTGTCTACGAATTCACTTTGTTGTCTCTAATAATGAGCCTCTCTGCATAGTTACCCTAAACTGGAATAAATGATTCCTAAGGCCCTCACAGCTGATATTTCCTTAAAGTGTGTTCCATTGAATCTATTCTGACTCCCAACAACCCTGTTGTTGTTGTTAGTAAGTGCCATTGAGTCGGTTCCAACTCATAGCAATCCTGCATAGGGTTTCCGGGTGAGCAACTGGTGAGCTTGAACTGCCAACCATGTGGTTCAAACCAACTTTGCAGTCCAGCACATTAACCTGCAGCACCACACCAGGATGCCACACCAGGAGTCCAGTAAAGTAATTAAGTTGAATTAATAAGATGATACTGTCTAATTCTTCCCTTAGTTTCCCAGCGTGGTCTGTGAATGTTCTTCTCAATGGAAGATCAACTTCAGGTGCCTCAGGTTAGAAACAAAGCTCTGGTGGGGAAAAGTTTAAAAGTGCTTGGCTGCTAACCAAAAGATTGGTGATTTAAACCCACCCATGACTCGGTTGGAGAAATGGCTGACAAGATTTCTGTAAAAAAAAATCCTGTAAATCCTGTAAAGATTTCAGACTAGGAAACCTTATGGGGTAGTTCTACTCTGTCGCATGGGGTTACTACATTGAAATCGACTTGATGGCACCTAACAGCCACAATAAAGAAACATAGAGGTGTTCTGTCTTCAGACCAATCCACCAGAGATTTATTATTTCCTCAGTGTGTACTAATCATTATAACACTTACAGCATTTACCCTTCTAGAAGCTCATTTAGTCTCACAACTACTCTGTGAGCGTGGGAGCACAGGCAGACCATTCCCATTGGACGAATGGGGAAAATGAGGCACATGAAGTAAAATCTTGGCTCTCTCAAGATCACAAGTCAGCAAGTGGTCAAGGGGATGTTTGAACTTAGACAGTCTGTAGACTCTTCTCTTGATAGCATAAGTGCAGCCATTTTGAGAGCATAACTATTTTGCTTAGCTAAAAGTAAATACAATCAAGCACTGCCTAAAAGCATCTTATAACATCCCCAACCTGTCCTTATATCTTAGATATATGTTTTAACTATTTTCAATTGGAATGTTAATAGTTGCCTAGCTCCTCTTTGAGCCTGGTCCCTGTTTGCATACTTTCTGATAAGGAGTGACCATCTGGACAAACAGGTGCTGCAAGAGTTAATCACGTTCTCTCATTGGACGTGTTTATTGGGACACTGTGACCACCTTGTACTTTAGTGTGAAAGTTAGAATGATAGGATTATAGTCCACTGGCATGTTGTATTAATTAACAATGTTGAAAACTAGTATAAAAATTGCTTGTAACAAAGGGTTACTTGAACGCCAATTTAACCAGCCGTTTGCTGCAAGGTATTCAGTTAGTCGACTTCCTAATAATAGTTAGAGCTTTTCTCTTTCTTTATTTGGTTGTTGTTGTTGTGTGCCTTCGAGTTGATTCTGACTCATAGCAACCCTGTATAGGATTTCCAACAGTGGCTGGTGTATTTGAACTGCTGACCTTTTGATTAGCAGTCCAGTGTTTATCCTACATGCCACACCAGAGCTCTGTTTATCTGGAGTGCTCCAGAGCATTGTATCCAAACTTTGGGGTAACAGTCTCTAGCAGCATGTAGAGTTTCTCATCCCAGAATGCTCTAAGGGTAGGCACCATGCTACATGCCGAACATGCAATGGCAGACAAAAGCTGACTTGTCCCTGCTCTTGTGGAATGTGTAGTTGTTAATGATATAGCCACAAAACCAAATGCAAATGTGTAAGTTTGACAAGGATAAACAACAGGAAGTAGAAGTACATGTGCGCTTTGAGCTCATGGGGAAGCTTAGGACATGATACAAGAAGGGAAGTCAGGGAGACCAGCATGAGAAAAAGTTTATCACATGAGGGAGCTTGATGAGAATGAGGGGCAGAACGAAGGCTGAGGTGTCTGGAAACAAGTTTAAAGAGAAAGGAGGATCCGGCCCAAGGAATATGTGGGTTGGACATTATCTTTAAGACAACTGGGACTTTTTATCAAAGAGATGTCGTGATAGAATTAGTGTTTGGAAGCGTCTTCCACCATAGTCCTGGAGGTCGAATGCAGAGAACTAGAGTGGAAGGACCAATTAGGAGGCCACTGAAGTAGTAGAAGTTAGAGACAATGGCCATTTGAAGTAAAGTGGAGAGAGAGAGAGAGAGAAGTGAGAGCAAAGAAGGGATTCTAGAATCAGAGATGCAGCATGTGAAGGGGAAAGCCCTTTTTGTACTTACACATTCAGATGCCTGATAACCTATGTGTGAGGCAGGAACCAGATATGAAGAAGACCATGACTTCAGTTGGGCATGTTGGGTTTGAGGTTTCATTGGCACATGGACAAAGGACACAACTGGCTTGAGATAATACATTCATGAATCATTTGCATCGATGTGGTACAAAAGCTAGGGGTAGGTGACAATGCTGAGGAAGGAAGTACAGAGTGACCAGCGGAGAGGGTTTAGGATAGAGATTTGAGGTTTTTTAAAACGTAAAACCTTTATAGATGAGGGTGGTCCTGGAAAGAAAATGGAGTAGGCAGAGCGGCAGGAGAAAACCCAGAAGAATGTTGTATCACCAAAGAGAAGAATATGATTCAGGATGAAGGGAGAGTTCAAGACCATCAAATGCTGCTGAGAGGCCAAGCAAGATGACGATTGGAAAGTGCTTATTGGGTTAAGCAATATAGAGGTCACTGATGACTTTAGAAAGATCCATTTATCTAGAGTGATGGCACCAAAAGACAGATTATGGAGTGGGTTGCAATGGCTGTTGTTGTTAAGTGCCATGGAGTCGGTCTGACTCATAGCGACCTTATCTATATAGGGTTTCTGAAACTGTAAATGTCTGTGGGAGTAGAAAGCCTCACCTTTCTACCAAGGAGCAACTGGTAGGCTTGAACAGCCCACCTTGTGGTTCACAATCCAGTGCTTATCCTACAGTGCTTATCGACTGCACTCTAAATGACCATAACCCTAACAAAGTACCACAAACTGGGGGCTTAAAACGATAGAAATTCTCTCACCGTCTTGGAGGCTTCTCTCTGAAGCTTCCAGAGTATATAACCTAGCTTGCCTCTTCTAGTTTCTGGTGGTCTCAGGTGTTCCTTGGCTGGTGGAAGCAAAGCTCCAATCTCTGCCTTCATTTTCACATGGCCATCTTCCCTCTGCGTCTACCTTTCTGTTTGCGTTGCTTTCTTCTTATAAGGGTGGCAGTCATATTAGATTTGGACCAATCCTGATCCAATGTAAGGAGCCCTAGTGGCATTGTGGACAAGCCTATCAGTCACCCTTTGGGGAAAAGATTTAAGTGTAGGTTCACTATGAGTTGTAATTGACTTGTGATGGCACTAGGCTTATTTTGTTTTCTACTCTAATGTAATGTTGACTGAACTAACTACATCTGCAGAAACCATATTTCCAGAGAAGGTCACATTCACAGGTACGAGCGGACAGAATTTAGCTCATAACAGTAAACATGTGAAAACAGGATATGGACAACTCCTTTGAGAATTTTGTTGAGAAGGGCTGAGAGACCGCGGTATGTGGAAGAATGCACTGAGTAAAGCAGTTTGTTTTGATTCTTTAGTGAGGGAAGCCGAGTGTGTTTAGTAGTAAATGGACAAGCCCTAGTGGGGAGTTGAATACACAGAAGGTAGATCCTGAGATGGCCAGAGGGATGTGTTCTTAATCAAGGTGGAAGGACAGGAAGAGAAGCATCATATCCAATACTTCAGGGGAGGAGGTGGGTAGAAGGTGTTGTCTGCAGAGGAAGTATTGTATCCTGGTGTTTGGAGGTTGGAGCAGTTTCAGTTGATGATTTCAGATGTATTTATAAATCATGGAGCAAGAGCATCTAGTCAAAGTGAGACATGATGAAAAGGTTTGGGATTCAGGGACCCTGAGAATGTTTGAAATAGTCATTATGAAGTAAATGAGATGATGAATTAATGGAGAAATCAAAGGGATTCCCAGTCAATTTGTGGGTGGGGCATCATGAATTTAGAGTTAAACCAATAAGCTCTGTTTGTAACTTTCTCAGGTTACACTTGATTACTCATCTAAAATGTGGACTCAGCCATGGTTTAAGTGTTCTTAGATGTTTGTACAAAAAGGAGAACTGGGACACTGAAATAGGTCCTTGGCACACATGATATTGAAATGAGGAACCAAGGTATCTAAAGTGATGAAGTGATTGGTAAATATGTTGTTGTTGTTGTGTGCAGTCGAACTGGTTCCGACCCATAGCGACCCTGTATAGGGTTTCCAAGGAGCAGCTGGTGAGCTTGAACCACTGACCATGTAGTTCAAATGACTGTGCAATCTGATGCATTAACACACAGTGCCACACCAGGACTCCAGATAGGTAAACATAGGCAACTAATATACGCCAGCCACTAATACACTCCATGGAGTCCTGGTGTGGCGCTGTGTGTGGGTTAATGTGCCAGACTGCAAAGCCATTTGAACTCTAAGGTTGGGGGTTCAAGCTCACCAGCTGCTCCTTAGAAACCCTATACAGGGTTGCTATGGGTCGGAACCGACTCGATGGCACTTCACAACAACAACAATATATGCCACTGGATTCCTGGTGTGGAACTGTGGGAAAAAGCACTGGACCGTGAGGTTATTTTGAACCACAAGGTTGGCTGTTCAAATTCACCAGCAGCTCCTTGGAAATCCTATATGAGGTAGCTATGAGATGGAACCGACTCGACAGCACTTAACAACAAACATCAGCAATATGTGTCACTAACCAGCCCTGGTGATGCAGTAGATTAAATGTTGGGGTGTTAACCACAAGATCAGAAGTCCAAACTCACCAACCACCACTCCAAGTGAGAAAGATGAGGCAGTCTGTTTCCCTAAAGAGTTAGTCTTTGAAATCCTATGCAACTGTTCTCGTCTGTGTTATAGAGTTGCTATGAGTCAG